CTGATTGTTTTAATATTACAATCAAACTGATTTTGCACATAGTGAATGAAATTTTCAATGATTTCACTCAATTGCTGTTTATCAGGCAAAAGATAGGTCCAGATAGCTCTAGTATGGTCATAAAAAATAGTTAGAAAATAATAACAACCATTTAAAGTGGGAATTCAATAAGGTCCCCAGGTATGCATATGGACAAGCTCAAAGGAAACATTGGCACAAGAATGACTTTTATTAAAGGAAAGTTTTGTTTGTTTGGCTTTGTGACAAGTATCACATGGCCTGTAATCACATACAGGAACAAAAGATAAGTGTTTCAAACTTTCAATGGAGGAATGACCAAGTCTATTATGCCAAATAATGCAATCCACTGTGGAAGAGTTAACAAGAGAGTTAACATGATTAGAAGAATCAAGTAGGATATATAGGTTATGTTCTTGGTGTCCAGTTGCCAAAGTTACTTTAGATCTCTGGTCCTGTATAAAACAAGTAGTAGAAGAGAAGATAAGAGTGTAGTTAGTATGTTTAAGGAGACTACTAACACAAAAGAGATTAAATTTGAAGGTGGGAAGAAAGTAAACCAAAGGCAAAACTATGGTTGATGCAAGAGTGAATGAGCCAGCATATTCAACGGTTAACCAAGATCCATTGGGCAGGTAGATTTGGGTTTTAGTGTGACGAGGTTGAAGGGTAGTGAACATAGATGGATTCTTGCAAATATGGCATGAGGCCCCACTATCAATCAACCAAGAACAATCACTTACACATGCAGCTGAAACACAAAAAAATGTACGTGAGTATTCAAAATTGGAGTTGGTTTGATTGACAACATTTACTTCATATTTTTGCTTCATGATCCTTTGCACTTCAGCTCGAATCAAACCTTCAATATCAGGTCCAACCTTGCTACCCTTTCCATCTGGTAGTTCACCCAAACTTTTCCATTTGAATTCTTTTGTTTCAACAGTTGTTGTGGCACAATTTGCTGTGGAAGTTCTCCTGTCTTTCAATTCTTTAAACCAGGCAGGAACTCCATACAAATAAAAACAGGTATACCTTCCATGTCCCTTCTTTTTACAGTAGTCACAAATCATATTCCTTTTCTCAACTTGTTGTTTTTTTTCTTCAACAAAAAGCTTAGAATGTGAACCAGCTTTGGTTGATATACTGAAGGCATTGAGTTCTGTTGTCACATGAATCTCCTTTTGCTTTTCAAATTGAACTATTAGGGAATATGCTTTGCTCATGGAGGGCAAATGGTCCATCATTAAGATTTGTCCCTTTGCACCTTCATAGCTATCATTCAATCCTGTCAAAAATTGTATAACAATATCTCTATCCATTATATTCATCAATTTTTTATAAAGACCACAGGTGCAGTGAGCTCCACAGGTGCATTCATAAGGAAGGTCAACTGTTAAAAGCTCTTGCCAAAGCTCCTGTAACTTGGTTGCATACGTGGCTATAGAATCCTCACCTTGTTTAATAGATGTGAGAGATCTTTCTAATTGATAGATAAGGCTACCATTGGACTGACCGTATTTTTCTTTGAGGCTTTCCCAAAATCTTTTGATGTTGCCATAAAGATAAAAGCTCCTTGCAAATCTGGGTTCATTGAGTTGATGATCCATGTGCGGACCAAAGCATCAACTTCTAACCACACTTCATACACTGGTTCTCCTTCTTTTGGCTTATGTTGTTTCCCTGTTAAGAAGTCACTTTTACCTTTGGCCATGAGTGCATTCCATACTTTATGTGACCAGGTAAAATAGTTATTTCCTTTAAGAGGAATGTTTGAGACGGTGAGGTGTGGTTGATTTCCACTGGTAAATTGTAATGATTTGGGAAGAGAGCTCTGGGGTGAAACCAGAGCTTGAGCAGCCATCGTCGCTGCTGCTTCTGCTGCTGCACGAATAGCTGCATTTGAAGGTTCTTGAGGGGATAAAATTAAATCACTAGGCTCATTGTTGAAAGACATGATGAGCACTGATCATTACTCATGCTCTGATACCATGATGTGAAAAATACCAAAAGCAGAGTGTAAAGAAAGTGGCTTGAAGAATGAATCTATTTCATTGATTTGGAAGATTACATTACGGGGGCTTTTATAGCCAAAATACAAGGAATATTCAAGGACAAAATTCACCAATAATAGGAAAAATAAGGACCACTACCAACACAGTACACAAAGTAACAAACTTCTGGTACACCAAAACAAAACAAAATCTACTTAATGAATTATATCATAAATGAACTAGTAATATAATTGGTTGCTTGAGTGTATTTAGCTACATCTGTCAACAAGACTTAATATTTTATAGCTGGACGGGTTCCGGGGCATTCCGAATCCGCCCAGTTGACATTCCTACGAATGAGTCTGCATTTACTAGAGTGGTCAGTCAATATGGTGGCCTTGGGCCCGGTATTGGACAATTGCTCGGTCGCCAATATGCTTTGTACATTGTTATTGTTGTTGCTTTTGATTTTCTAACCATATTTTATAATAAAAATTTGCTACAATCTCTTTATTGGCTCGGAGAAAAAGCATGCACTAGTATAGTTGATCTTCTTGTTTAGTTCTCTTTCTCCATTAATAACGTCATTTTGTACCATATTTTTTGTATAAATATATATAATTAATTGTTGGCTTTCCTAATATTTTATTAGCTTTTAAAATTAATTTACGTATAGTTTTAGTTTTATTTGTAATTTTTATGCAGCTGAAATCTTTTTTATTTAGCAGTACTAAACACTTAAGATTTTAATTAATTTTAATTTATATCATTAATTAATATAATTCATAAAAATATATAGATAAATTTCAGCACCCGATCTGTTGGGTTTTTTTTATGTTATATATTAAATTATGTGATTCTTGCCATATCTATATTTAATTTAATGACATTTTTAATTTTATATTAAATCTAAGTTAATAATTAGCTAATTAAATAATTAAAGTTGACTATTTTGCTAATTTATTTGGTTAAAATATGTTCAGCTTCCCTTCTTTAGTTTTATTGTTATTTTTTGTTAGTTTTTATTTAGTTGTACTTTTATTTGTAGTATGTTTTATTTATGGCTTGTTATTTAAGTTTTGCTTTTATTTAATGATGGATTTTAATTTTGCTTAGAAAATTAACTAATTATTCATTCTAAGAAAATAATAACTTTTTTGTAGGTTTGGCCCTTGAAGTTTTTCCGATTGCAAAAAAGCCGTGCAAATTGCGAAATAAATCGTGAAGTCAACAATCAACTGTATCGCGATTGCAGCTCGCGAAATCAATTAAATATTAGCTCAATATTTAAAAATTAATTTATCAGTCACGAGTGTCAACGAGAACGGCTCTCTGATCATAAAAATAATTTCATCTTATCAATTAAATATTAGCTCAATAATTGGAAATTAATTTATCTTTCCGTAATTTCCTATAGACCAGGAAAGTAATTTGGGATAGCTTGTTGGTTGATCGAGATCGAGCATTGAATGTCATTTATATAGTCACTCTATTGCATCCAGCATATCATCGTATATTTACATGTTGCATAGCCACCTTATTTTTATTTTTCATATGTAATATTGGAAAAAGAATGACAGTCTTTCTCTCATGTTATTTGAGCTAGCAAGCCACACATTTGCTCATTACTTGCTTTTAACTTCATATTATTAGTTTAGCCAACTTTACTTCTCGCTCTAATTCGCAGCAACTCATTGTCCAATTCAAAAATTCGATCCGAACTTGACACTAAAAAACAGTGTTTGTGCCTAAAAAAATAGGCTTGACAATTTCGGCTTGTACCCGGTCCTGCACGAATATAAACCGGGCCGCGTCCGAGCCCAATAAGATTAGGCAATGTTTGGCACGACAATTTTTAAACTGAATATAATTTTATAAATATACTGAAAAATAAAGGTATGTGTTAGTGATTTTGTTGATATTAAGTTAAGTTTAAAAAATAAAAAATCCGAAAAAATGGCCCAGTTTTAATGGAACCGTGTTCGAATCTAGGCTGGATTTTCATGCCCGGTTCGAAAATATTGACGGGTGTTGGGATTCCCGTTTACGGATATATGAATAATGGCTGAATTACCCTAACAGTTTGAGGAAGCATTAAAAATACAAAATAAAAATTTACTTTAATATTTTTAAAAGAATTTATAATGGTAAAAAATTCTAAAATTTCTGTAACAAAATACGCTCTTATTCTGTAAAAAGGGGTCTTAGAAGTTGAAGCCTGCAAAATTGGTCTTGGTTGTCATCCTGAGAGAATATGCACTGATGTTATTTTAGATACCTATCAATTCTGATACAGGCTTTTATATATATATATATAAATAAAATAAAAATAAGGATAACTTGAGCAAGGCTTGGTGCAGGTAACAGGCAGCCCAAGTTTATTCATTACCTCTAATATTACAATATTAATTGTACAAGTTTTTAGAACATAGTAACATTTAAGAATAATGTGTCAGATCAGATGACACAAAACCAGGCAATTTAATTCCTGCACCATTGTATATGCTCAATAAGCAGCAACAATGGTCCGCAGTGTCAAACCTTAATATCCAGGCCGTCCCTGAAAATTTTGGAAAGGTGCGCAGTTGCTCGCCTGGTCAAAGACACGGTCGTGTTTTTAAAAATTCATGACCGTGTATATTAAACATGACCGTGTTCAAATAGCAAAATAATTGTTGGGTTAAAAGCGTATGTGTAATGTTTTGTAGATATAAAACACGGCTGCATGTGTAATGTTTTTTGCGTGAAAACGAAGGCTGCTGCAAGCAGTTTTTTGAAACAAAGTGGAAGAGACAACCTCATGTCATACCACGGCGATCTTCAACCCATTGCTTCTGCTCTAAATAAGATATGACTCGTGGACTAAAATAAAAAGTCAACACAGCCAACAATGGGTATGATCCGGCCCGCTGTAGAACTTGGTACTGAAAATATCCTTGAGGAGGAGTAGGCCGCCATCATTAATGGTGAAAATGAAGTTTGATCTACCCTAACCTACCCTACCCTATCTCCGACTCCACAAAATCCCTATTTCCCTCATCGCCAAATACTGCACAGTTGCTGCACAGCCGTCCTTCGCTCATGGCCGAGGCCGCCGTGTCCGATGAGCACCTAGCAGATGCGCTCGGGGAAGTTACCATCTTCACCGCCGGCGGCGAGCAAGTCAAGGTTAAGGATCTATGGGATCAGCAGGAGGTATATGACTGAGACTGATCTGAGGACTATTTGGGGTTTCAGACAAGGTATAATAACTGGATGGAACTCCAATCCAATTTAAAATAATTTGTTCTTAATTGGAGCAGGGCGTGGCTGTGGTTGCACTTTTGAGACACTTTGGGTGCTTCTGTAGGTAATAATTAAGGATTGTTTGTTAGTTTGTTCCATATATGTATTGATGTATGTTTGTATATATATATGAAACGATTCGTTCAATTAATCGATCGATTAGTTGGGAGCTTGCCTTAGCGCTGAAAGAAGTGAAGGAGAAATTGGATTCGTGGGGAGTTAAGGTGGTTGCTGTTGGTGTTGGAACTCCTGATAAGGCTAAGCTTCTTGCTCATGGGGTAACCATTTTTAATTTTTTTTTTACCCTGGAGAGATAATAACTTGTTTTTAACTACACATGTTTTCCTCCAAGAAAAATTTGGGAGATGGATAGCTTTAATTTGAATTTAAATAGCAGCATATCAATGAATCTAGGAGTGTCAATTCTTATTTACGAATATGTGTTTGTGTCGGATTAAGTTATGGGTATAACAAAAAAAACTATTAATTCGAACACGATCTAAATTCAATTTTCAATCCGAAACTTTAAACTCGAACACAGCATGAATTTTTTGGATCGGGTTCAGATCAATTTAATTTTATATTAGGTCATCAGATAATCCGAACGAACCACGTTCGTCCATTGTTGCTGACGTGGCGCTGACACAGCTGATATGTTATCACCACATCGGTGACACATTAGAGGATCACTTTAGTAAAAAAAAAAAATACTTGCGGAACTATTTATAGACATGGTCTATTTATAGTTCTAAAAATAATAATAAAGGGCGAGGTATGATACTAAAAAAAAAAGTTTACAAAAAAATTTTATGAAATAAAAAAAAAATTGTTCTATTCGGCTTAAGGTCTCATTTAATTTTTGAGTGTTAATATTTAAGTATTAATTAATATATGAAAACGTAGTACAAATTAAGGGAAAATGACAAGAAATATTTTTATTAGTGGCTTATAATATTATTATAAGGACATGCTTGCAAAAAAATTTATACAAATATAAGAATACTTACCTTTAGATCAGGACGGATGAAGTAAAAAATAAAAACAATTTTTCACGTGTTACTGACGCTGAGATGATATGTTAGCCGCGTCAGCGCCACGTTAGCAACGGCGGGCCAACGTCGCGAGTCCGGTACCGGAGAATCATCTTTTAGAAAAAAATTTACTTAGAGGATTATTTTCAAACAGAGTCCATAAAAATGGTGAACTAAAATATCAGTTTACCAATTTTTATATTACAGATTATCACGCCACCTCCAAACTCTATCCAATCTTTTTTTTTTTTTTTTTTGGTTTTGGATTCAAATCAACCTAAGTTTTTTAAAAACCCAAAACACAGATATCCAAACTTGAAAATTTTCAGGTTGAACGGTTCAGTTTTTCGGATTAGATTCAATTTTGAGAACCCTAAATGAATCCCTAAGATAAGATGAATTATAAGCAACTTATTGAGTCTATAACTAAGGATACTATGTGCTTAAGGGCTTCTAAGTGAGACAGTCTAAACATATGAATAAATCACTCTCAAAGAGGATGCAAATGTAACTTCATATGCAGTGTTCTTTACATTTGTCTTTCAAAAGAATTTTAATGACCAATATATATATATATATATATATCTTAATATCTATGATCTTGTGATGCTCTGCTAGCTACCTTTTCCGATGGATTCCCTCTACGCCGATCCTGATCGTAAGGTAATTAACAATGTCGACCTTGCCACATAAGTTTGATGCATATTACCATTAAGAACTGGACTAATTTCAGACACCCTTCTGACTTTTCTTAGGCATATGAAGTTTTAGGATTGCATTATGGTCTTCTCCGAACCTTAGCCAATCCGGCAAGTGATTTAAATCATTAATTTCCTCGAACTTATCCTGTTAATTGTCGATGAATCCTTGCGGCGTAAACTTTGTTTTAGCGCTAAACAGGTGGAGCTGTCTGCCCGACTCGGAGCGCTGAAGAAATCGACGAGCAATTACACCCTCAAAGCCACCCCAAACATGAGCAGTATCTTACAGCAGGTTGTAATGTAAAATTTTCTTGATTTTCTTTTTTTTTTATTACAATATGGTTTTGCCTTATTATGGACTTGATTTGATTTTATTTGCAGGGAGGGATGTTTGTGTTCAAAGGGAAGAAAGTAGTGTATGCGAGGAAGGATGAAAGAACAGGCGACCATGCTCCTTTGGATGACGTCATCAATGTCTGCTCGAAAGTTGCAGCTGCATAAAGTGGTTAAGTTCGATCGTCTTGACATATAAGGTCAATGTCTGTAAAAAGTATGTATGTATTTGTTGTCATAAACCTCTAGATTTTAAAATAAAACAGGTTTACAGTGGATGCAGTATAGGGTTGATTGTACATGCGTTACTTGTTATTTAGAGAGTGTTTGAAAATAATTTATCGTGTACCTTTTAGTTTATTAAACAATTTTTTTCAAACAATTAACTTTAATGTTTGAAAAATTAATTTTCACATAATTTTTTATTAAAAAAATTAATTTAAAAAAAAGTTAACTTAGTCAACATCTCATAATAATAATCTCTAAATTTTAAAGTGTGCAAGATGATTTTAAAATTTTTATCTTTTTAAAAAGTATAAAGGTAATGAATAATTTAATAAAGTCTACAGTTATTTTAGTATTTAGATATGATTATTTCTATTATAATTAAATATATATTTGAGTAGATATATTAATTTATTAATTTAAAGTAGAAAATATATATTATTGATTCTATATACTTCATTGCTCTCATTTCAAAGAGTTTATATCTTTTTTTTTTTTAATAAAAAATTAAAAAATAAATAGCTCTATTTATTTGTAAGATTTTACCTTTAATTTTATTATTTTATTATTTTTTCTTAAAAATATCAAATCAAACAATCAATTTTCATTTATTTTATTACACTAAAATCTAATTTTATATTCAAAACATCACGTCAATATATATATTTATATCACATGAAACAACTATTTCAATTCAAACTTTTATTATTCAAAATCAAAACCTCTCAGGTAAACACACTCAATATTTTAGTGAAAGTGTTAAAATAGTGTAACATTTTTTGTCTTACAAAGTAAAGTAATGATATTTTTATAATTTTTATAAAAGTGGAAAATTTTGGTACATTGAGATCATGGCTGAATTTTTTTCTTCAGCACTTGTACTGAATAACTAAGAAATTATCAAATTTAATAATACAATTAAATTATATAAATTGATATAATTGTTTTGAAGGCATTCAACACTTAATGCTGATTTTATTTTTCAATATATGATCCATTGTCATTTTGGTATTTGTATACAAAGTGTTTTTGCTATAAAAAAAAGTATTTTGAGTTGGGACGGAAGAGATATATTATATAACTTTTATATTAAAAATAAATAAAATAGAATATATTTATTGAAAATTATGAGCAGTAAATAAATTAATTGGTACTCCCCCGTTTATTTTTGAAAGTATATATTTATTTTTGGTGTGAACTATAAAAAATAATAATATTTTAATTATAGTAATTAGTTAAAAATAGTATAAAAATAATTTCGTTCATGGCCATTACTACATTGACTCATTTGCCCCTTTTCACTCTCAACAAGGAAAATAATGTTATCTATTACTTGTGTATGTGAATGACATAGTCTTTAACCGGTAAAAATATGTTGATCATTGATGACAACCGGCAGTTTTTGCACAATAAATTCACTATCAAAGATCTATACCAAGTTAATTTATTTCTTGGCATGCAAATTCAAATATATGATCCTGGACTGATTGTTTTTCAATAGAGATTTGTTGAAGATATATTAATCTAATACTCCATTTGTTATTGGACGGAAACAACAACAGCAAAGGAGAAATTATCTCTAAACCAAGCATGTATCGAAGGCTTATTGATAATATGCTTTATTTGACTATGAAAATGTTGATATTTGCTACTCTATTCAGAAACTTAATTAATGGATAATTTTACTATTTTATATTGAAAGGCTCTCCAGCGAGTGCTAAAATATTTGAAAGAAACATCACCACTTTCAACTCTTATTCCAATACTACGGAACATCTACTCTCAAAGCATTTTATGATGCTGATTAAGAATATTGTTTGGATATTCGCAAGTCTCTCGCTAGATTCTTCTTATTCTTTGGCTCTTGTTTGATATCTTAAAAAGCAAAGAAGCAAACACCAAGGATGAAATCTTCTAAAAATTTGGTATATTAAAATTTACCTAATTAGAAATAGGTATCAAAATTAAAAAATATAAAATTATATTCTTCCGTCATCCAAATGTGTACTCAAAATTTTGGATGCATATTGTGATGTTTTGTGCATATTACACTTCGACCCGACCCAGCCTATCGAAACCCGGATCATGTGCCCGCGGTTCGACCCGATTGAGTGATGAATTCGATGATGGGTTCGTTTGGCCTGAACCGCCCTGGACCGCCCTCAAACCGGTCCAAGAGGTCTTAATATATATTGTTTTTCCCGTTTCACTGAATAAATTGATTCTTCACTCCTTCATATCGCGATTTCACTCTCTGGAGCCCTAACTTCCCCGACAAACGCGATCGACTTGTTCTTGGCATTCCGGCGAGTTTGGCCATCGGAACTTGAAGTTCATCCATCGTGGTTATATTACAGCTTGTCCTAAAGCTGTTCTTTGGTTTGATTTCTCGATTCTGCCTTTATGTACTGTTCGTGGTGTAAATTGATTTTCCGCGATGATTTAGGCTTAGAATCTTAAGATTTCTTTCGATTAGGTTGTTAATCACGTTGATTGTGCGTTTCTGTGGATTTCGGTAGTGTTTGGGTTGAGGTTGTGTATATGTTGCTATTCGGTTGGAACTTTGGGGAAACTGAGTCCGAACTCCGTCGATTTTGTATATATAAAAGATTTGATGTTCTTTGGTTCATATGTGTTCGATTGTTGTTAAACTACAAGCGCTAGGTGGATTACAAGTGGTATCAGAGCTATTAGGGCTTGTTAGTTTACTGGAATTGTGTTTTTCGAGTTCCTGGAGTGAACACCTAGTTCTCTCTGTAAAATCCGAAGGTTTTCTGTAAATAATCTCAAGTTTTTCCGAAATCTTGGTTGTTTACTTTTCTGTCAAAGTGAAAACTGATTTTTAAAGGTGTGTTTTTCACTTCTGTAAAGTTTAGATCCCCTTGATTAGGACTAAGATTGGCCCTATAGGAGATTAGGACTTGAAATCATCCTTACTTGGTTGATTTGTGTAGTTCCTTGTTGTTGATTCATCCAATTTTTACTAATATGTGTATTAAGTGCGCAGTTGAAAGGATTTTACAGGTTGAAGGCTTTGAATTACGAAAAGAAAGTCAAAGAATAGTTGCGGAGCTTAAAGTGGGTAACATTCCTAACCTTGTTGCATGTTTTTGTGAGATTTCACTTTTGTGGTGGCTAAGTGTGGCAATTTTAGTCTACTAAGTGTTGTTTCTGTGCTAAGTGTGACTGTTTGAGGCTGTTGTAACATTTAAAGTGTTAGTTAGGGCAGTTTGTGCAATTTGTTTGTGTGGTGGGCAAGTTAACTGCTCCTAAGTTAGTTTTCTCAAGAAACTAACCTTGGATTAGTTAATATTCAATTTTTTTCTCTGTTCTTGGTGCATTCATAACTGGTGGTTCTTTTGTTGAGATATTATAAACAATAAATCTGTCTTGAGTGATGCTGTGAATTTTTTGGACCAGCAGCTGTTTTTGTAAAAATTTGGTCTGTTCTTGTGTTTTTTTTTTTTACTTAAAACAGATTGTTTTTCCTCTTTTAAAATCATAGCTGGTCAAGCATTCTTGAATATACAGCCTTTTGATGGAAAATCTGATTTTGCAATTTAGAAACAAAAGATGAGAAGTGTTCTTATAACTCAATGCTTGATAAAAGCCGTTGAACCTGATCAAGCAACCGACCTTTCTCTTGAAGAAAGGTTTGAGCTGGATGAACTTGCGTCATCCTACATTATTTTAAACCTAGCTGACCATGTAATTAGGATAATAGGAACTTATGGTTTAGCTGAGGATTTGTGGAACAAATTGAACACTATGTATACTGAAACTTCTCTTCAAAATAGGATACATTTTTTAGAGAAATTCTTTAGTTTCAAATTAGACCTTTCAAAGACAATAGATGAAAATCTAGATGTATTTTCAAAGTTAATTCTAGATATAAAACTTATAGGGGATAAAACATAAATGATTGCAGCTCTATTGTCATGTTAAATGCAATCTCTAGTTCATATTCAGATGTAAAATCAGCTATAAAGTATGGTAGGGATGTGATTACTCTAGATGTTATGGTAAATGGTCTAAAAAGTAAAGAAGTAGATTTGCAACTAAGTAAAGCTAATAAACAGTCACATGGTGAGGTGATACACATAAAGTATGGTAGAGATGTGATTACTCTAGATGTTGTGGTAAATGGTCTAAAAAGTAAAGAAGTAGATTTGCAACTAAGTAAAGCTAATAAACAGTCACATGGTGAGGTGATGCATGTTAGGGGTAGATCTCCCTATAGACCGAATAAGAATGGCTCTTTTTCCAATAACTATAATTAATGAAATAACTCCTACAATAGTCAACATAAAAAGAAGTCTAGAAGTAAGTCTAGGAATAGATCTCAAACCCCTTCAAAGTATGTCAAACGGAGTTTTAATTGTGGTTACACTTCACATTTTATTAGGAGTTGTCCTAAGAAGAATAGAAACTTGAATAACAACAACAATAACTTTAGAAATGGAACAACCCCTATTAATACTTCTTCAAATGAACAAGTAAACTTGATTTCTCATGATGATTGCTTAGGTGAAGTGTTTACTGTTACTGTTGAATGTTCTAATGTGACTGCTTTTAATAAGAATGAATGGTTATTAGATTCAGCTTGCACCTATCACATGACCCCTTTTAAAGAATTTTTCAGTGATTATAAAACCCTTTTAAACTGTAATATGACTATGGCTGATAATAGGGTTTGCAGTGTTAAAGAAATAGGGACTGTTACGCTGAAATTTAAATCTGGAAATGTTTTAAAGCTGTGCAATGTGAGACATGTCCCTAATCTGTCGAATAACTTGCTTTCTTGTGCTGGTTTGTCTTCTTTAGGACTAGAAGGAAAATGGGGAATGAATTTTATGAAAATAACTAAGGGTTCTTTAGTAGTTTTCAAGGCTGATTGAGAAATAATCTCTATATTGTGATTGTTGTGCCTATTTGTGATTCTAATGCTTGTGTGAATAATGTCCATGACAGCATTGAGTTGTGGCATAGGAGATTAGGTCATTTAACTAATAGAGGATTGGAGATTTTGCATAAAACTGGTTGTTTAGGTGCTGGAAATTTCTCAAATGTGCCATTTTGTGACAATTGCATATATGGAAAGCATCATAAAGTTACTTTTCCTC